TAACCCACTACACTACCAGGGCTCCTTCTTGTTGTTGTTGTTGTTGTTGTTGTTGTTGTTGTTGTTATGTGCCGTGGAGTCGGTTCCAACTCATAGCAACCCTGTACAGGGTTTCCGAGGCTGTAAATCTTTACGGGAGCAAAAAGCCTCATCTTTCTCCCGCGGAACATCTGGTAATTTCGAACTGCTAACCTTGAGGTTCGCAGCCCAATTTGTAACCACTACGCTACCAGAGCTCCTTACCAGGGCTCCTCATGTAATATAAAATACTGTGTGATGTGTTTAAAAAGCAACCAACCAATCAACCCACTGCCATGAAGTTAATTCCAACGCAGCAACCCTACAGGACAGAGCCCAAGTGCGCCCTGGGGCTCCTGAGACACTAAACCTTTACAGGAGCAGCGAGCCTCCTCTGTCTCCCTCAGAGCAGCTGACGCTGTTAGCAGTCCAATAGGTAGCCTTCTGTAACACCAGGACTCCTTTGTGATGTGACTGTTGTGTTGTTATTAAGTGCCATTGAGTCAGTTCTGACTCATAGCAACTCTGTATAGGGTTTCTGAGGAGCAATTGGTAGGTTTTAACTGCTGACCTTACAGTTAACAGTCCAGCGCTTACCCTAGAGCGCCACACCAAGATTTGTGTGACGTGATTAGTGGTAGTGGTGGTGATTATGTGCCATCAAGTCAGTGCCTACTCATAGTGACCCTGTAAACGGTTTCCAAGGCTGTCCGTCGTTATGGGAGTAGAAAGCCTTTCTCTTCCTCCTTAGGAGTGGCTGGTGGATTCAAACTGTTGATGTTGGAGTTAGCAGCCCAACGTGTAACCCACTCTGCCACCACAGCTCCTTGTGATGTGATTTTTTGTTTGCTTGTTTGTTAAGTTCCATCGAGTCAGTTCTGAATCATAGAGACTCTGTACAGGGTTTCCGAGGAGCAGCTGGTGGGTTTGAACCACTGACCTTGCGGTTAGTGTCCAGTATTTATTCTACAGTGCCACACCAGGATGTGATTCAGAAGAAAAAATCTAAAGGAACTCCTGAGGAAGCAATCATGGAAACAAGGCAGAGAAACTCTAATCTACATTCTGGAGCTTTGCCTTGCCACTCAGGACTGGCCAGAGGAGGGAAGAACTTGATGGGCGAGGGGAGGCTTAGGATCCTATCACAGAGTAGAAGCTCAAGTTACCCCCAAACTGACCCTCTATAGGGTCAGCCAGATCTGGCCCTTCCCCTAAACAGTGCCCTCCTTACCCTGGGCCAACAGGTCTTGGGTAGTCTTTCATCTCACTCTGTTCCTCCTCCCCATTCTGCCTCCAACAGGAACCTCAGCTCCAGAGTTTGAACATGTAGGAGATCCCTCAGCCCTTAAACTAGAGCATAAACCTGGAGTTTCTAGAAGAATCCAGGAGGGTGGCCCAATGACAGGAGGCACCCAGGAAGCAGAGGTGCCTCTGTGAACAAGGCTTTCTTTATTGGGGTGCGAGTCTGGTCACAAGTTATCTTCTACTTAGAAGTACTATACAGGAATATCTGAGTATCTTAGGAGTGAGAGAAGCTGGCCTGGGGGTTTGCTTCCCTGATCTTAGAGGACACAGAGATGGTGGAGAGAGGAGAGGTCTTGGAAGAGTGAGACTTCATCTTGGTCACATTGTGCTCTTCAGAAAAACTGGGCAACTCCAGAGTCCTCTCTTCTGGTGGGGTGTTGGAGCCAAGGAAGACCAGGTAGATGATGCCACCTATTAAGGCACCTAGGGGTGGTGCCACCACAGGCACCCACCACCAGTGCCCCCCGTCTCTGTGGGCAAGAGATGGCACCCATATCCACCTCAGGCCAAGACAGGGCAAGCAGCCCCAGAGTTCCCCTGAACCTGGGTCCCAGCCAGCCTCAGTCTGATAAAGGGACAGGGGCTGGTATGAGAATTCTCATCAGCGCCAGTCTGGGGAATAGTGGGGGCTCACGCCTGCCTCCCTAGGCCACTAGGGAGTGCTGTGGGCATGGTTCTCCTGTGTCTCATATCACCCCACCCCTCCACCTGCAGGGAGCCCCTGTAAACAGGCAGGCTGGGGATCGGGGCAGGACAGTACCTGAAGACTTCACTGCCCCAGCCAGCAATGAAGGTGAAAAAGCGGGGAGGCAAGTCCCGGGATGGGTTGATGGCATATCCTGAGTTCATGCCTAGAGACACTCCAATGAGGACAACCAGGAGGCCAACCGCCAGGCCCTGTGTCCCTTCCAGTGCTGGGCTGTTCTGCTTGTCCGTGATGGCGAAGAGACACAGCTGGAGCAACCCCGTCAAGAACACCTGGGAAGCAGACACCATGGAGCCCAAGGCCTCAGCAGTGCCCAGATCCAAGCACCCTGGCAGACACAGCCCGTGCCTTTCCAACCAGAGTTCTTGTCTTCTCTAGAGTAAGGGGCTACCTGCTGGCTCCTTCTTGAGGGGTGGAGGGCTTGGAGAGGGGCACCCGCCCTGGACCACTGACCTCATCCAAGAAGCCCTGCCACAGTGTCATGTGACTGGGAAGGTATGTGGCGAAAATGCCGGCGGTGGCTGTGGGACCAGTCACTGCCAGAGGTCCGTTTGAGAATTCGTTGATGGATGCTGTGGAAACATGGATTAAAATGTAGACCTGTCCCACTAGGTCCCAGAAATAAGGTCAAGGGTCAAGAATTGGAGGATACTTCAAAGGTTTTTTTCTCCGACATTCTCACAGGTCAAGACACTGAGGTCTGATCTGTCCATACTTCAGGGAAGGAGACTGAAGCCAAGGACAGGCAGCCCCAGACAGGACACTCACCGTGGAAGAGGCAATAGATGGTGGCAGCAGCCAGGAAGGAGCCCAGGAACTGACCAAGAACATAGATAGGAAACTTCTTCCAGGACATGAGACCTAGTGCGCAGTTGGCAAAGGTCACTGCCGAGTTCATGTGGGCCCCTGAGAAGAGGAACAAGTGTGTTGGGGGAGTGAGAGCAGAAACAAAATCGATAACAACAGTCACCATACTGGCTACCATTTATTGAGTACGTTCTCTGTGCCCAAGAAGCAGGTGCCACCATCTCCCTTTTATGAGTAGGAAAGTGAGGAATGTGCCTAAGATGGCCTGGGGGCCTGGTGTGGTGCTGTAGGATAAACACTCGACCATAAGATCGGCAGTTCAAACTCACCAGCCACTCCTCAGAAACCCTATACAGAGTTGCTATTGGCCAGAACTGACTTGATGGTACTTAACAACAACAAGTCTATATGGGTCCTGGTGTGGCACTGTAGGATTAGCACTGAACCACAAGTTTGACGGTTCAAATTCACCAGCTTCTCAGAAACCCTATATACTATATACTATGGGTTGGAATCAGCTCAGTGACACTTAACAGCAAGATGACCTAGTCAGCTAATAGAAAAGATGGGTTGAATTTTGAAGGTTGATTCTATAGAATGAGCCTCATCAAAAGAGGGAAAATTTAGAAAAAAATAATTCAAATTTTCATACACTCAGACTTTCTGGAGCTATGTAGGCTGAATAAACACCCAAAACTACTGCTCTGAAATAATTTTTAAACCTTAAACCAAAAATATTCCCTGAAGTCTTCTGTAAACCAAACAATTGAAAAAAACAACGGCACTTCCATTGAGTCGATTCTGACTCTTAGTGACCCCGTATAGTTTCCAAAGGAGCTCTGGTAGCAGAGTGGTTATGAGTCAGGCTGCTAACTTCCAGGTCAGCAGTTTAAAACTACCAACTGTTCCATGGGAGAAAGATGAAGCTCTGGTAGCATAGTGGTTATGAATCGGGCTGCGAACCTTAAGGTCAGCGGTTCGAAACTACCAGCCACTCCGCGGAAGAAAGATGAGGCTTTCTACTCCCGTAAAGATTTACGCCCTCGGAAACCCTGCACAGGCTCGCTATGGGTCGGAACCGACTCGACGGCACTTAACAACAACAATAAAGATTTACAGGTTCAGAAACCCTACACAGGGTCACTATGAGTCAGAACCAACACCATGGCACATCACCACCATCACCATAGTTCCCAAGGCTCTAAATCTTTATGGGAGCAGAAAACCTCATCTTTCTCCCACAGAGCAGCTTGTGGTCTGAACTGTCAACTTTGCAGTTAGCAGTCCAGTGCTTATCTTACAGTGCCATCAGGACTCCTTAACCGAACAACGTTTTTATTGTTGTAAAGTGCCATCGAGTCAGTTTTGACTCATTGTGATTCTCTACAGGGTTTCTAAGGAGCAGTTGGTGGGTTACGGCACCACACCAAGAGCACAAACAATTGTTTAATTTAATTTGTATGCAATGTCTGCCTTGAACATTGTGCTCATTTAACAATTAAGATCAGATTGTGGAAGGATTAGATAGTGTTTATGTCAATGGCGGAGGAATCATTTGAAAAATGAGGGTGAAAAAGTTTGTACAACTTGAAGAATGTAATAAATGTCGTGGAATTATACATGTAGAAACTATTAGTGTATGTTCTGCTTTCTATATTCTCAACAATAACAAAAAAAATGTTTAAACATAGGTTGAGAGGGCTCCATGAAGGGTTTGGGCCAGGCATGGTCAGAGGCCAGAGGTCCAGAAATGTTCTCCCTCTGAGTAGCTGGTAAGGGCCAAGCACCAGTTGGGTCAGAGAGGAGGCTGGCTAGAGGTGGTCAGGGAAGAGCCCAAAGGAGATACCCAGACTTGCTCAGTCGGGCGGGGTCAGGACTCACTCACCAGAGATGCCCCCTGCCAAGTGCACTCCCATGGTGACTCCAAAGCCAAACCCCAAGTTGACACTGAGGTAGCTCCCGAATTTTTTCTCTCCTAGAACCATCTGAGCCACGGAGCCAAGGCCAAATACCTGTGAGGGAGAACCTCTGAGAAGGCTGTCTGCACAGGAGACCCCACTGTGGTGGATGGCTCAGAGCTTAGTTCTTAACTTCTTGCCCCCACACCCTGGGCCTCCCCAGCATCACCTCTAAGGACCCTCTGCCATGCCTCGTTCTTCTGCTTCCTTCACTTCTAATGACCTCTTGGTCCCTTGCCACTGTTTATGCTTCACAGATGTAAACTAGTGAAAGCTAAGTGCTGGAAGTAAAGCTCCAAAAGTGGGGGTAGTGTAGATATTACTGAATGGACACCTCAACCCTAAAGGGCCCCTGAAGGCCAAAGGAGAAGACATGGCTGTCATGGGCATGGCTGCTATGGAGTGCATCCCTCAGATAATCTCACACTTCCAACTAGCCTTACCATCCCTGGAGGTTTATGGGGTTCTGTCTTGCCCTCAACTCCATTCCCGTTGCTCTCAGTCATCATTTCAGAACTTCTTGCTCTTCCATCCCTAATTGCTTTATCTCCTCAGTTACCTGTCTTCTCTCCCTCCAACCCTTCTCAGAGCAAACAGAGGCCTGAAAAATAGGGCCTCACTCAGCCTCTAGCTACTACCCAACAACACTCAACCTGCATATACATCCACCTTCTCCTTTAGCTGTGCCACAGCTCCTCCCTCTACAGAGATTCCCCTCTCACCTCTCAGATTCCACCCTTTCCCAGATCTGTTCCCACACAGTTAGGTCTTTTCCTTCCTGCCCTCAGCCCTGTCTGTCTCTCCAGCTATGGGCTACCAATGCCTTCACCCCCATTTAGTCAGACTCCTTTATCTCTCCCCTTACACTCGCTCCTCACACTGACTTTTGCCACAGTCATGGACTTTTTTGGTTTAGCTGACTTCAACAGTTTTGAACACTCTGTGCTTTTGGAAAGTTCCTCCTTCTTGGCCTCTATAATGCTGCTGCTGCTATTCTTCTTACCTCACTAGCCTCTCTCTCTTTCCTTTCCCCACATTTGGCTTCCTTCATTTGCCTCATGAAAGTGAATGAATTCAGGGCTCCATCCTTGGTAACTTTCATGTCTCATCTCAAATCACTCTTTCTGGGTCTTCTTACCTGGGCTTCAGCCATACCTCATGCATTAAAATTCCCCAAATCTCCACTTGGGAACCAGAGCCTTATTTCCAAATATCCACTGAGAATCTCCCAGGGTTCTACAGGCATCTCTCAGAAAACCTGCAACTTACCCTGCATTCTCCATCCTAGTTGGCCAACCAAGGCAAATGTCAACCTGTATGTCACAAACAAGAATTTCATCTCCCTTTCTCCTCAATCAGCTCTGCTTACCATCTGTCTCTCCCACTTTCACCCATCCTCCTCTTTGCAATCAGAGGGGCCTCTTTAACACAGAAATCCGATCATGTCTGCCCTTGTTAACTCATTGACTCATCTCCATTTCTAGAATAAAATCCAAACTCAGTACACCATTGTTGAAGCCCCATGGTTCCTTCTGCCTGTATCTCTTATCTGTCCCAATGTTCTGTATGCTTTAGCAATAGTATTGCTACTACATAATAGTAGCCATTATTGAGTACTTACTATAAGTTTGGTGCTATTATTCTCCCGTTGATAAATGGGCAGAGACTCAGTAGAGTGGCTTGTTGTTCTGTATATGGTGAGCCAGGATTTGAATTAGACTGTCTCAAACCAAATAACTACATAGCTCCATGCATGCATTGGTTTTTCATGGCTTGATAATAATTACTATTGAAGCATAAGAATCTTATCCCCATCTCTTTTCACCAGATCCATCTAGACAAAATGAAAACTCTTCAGTGGGGACTCTTTCTTTCCCCACATGCTCTGAAACTAAACTCCCTCTTAAAATCTTGTAAACCAGTCACTTCATGCCTCCTTTTCACCAGATCCATCTAGACAAGATGAAAACTATTCAGTGGGAACTCTTTCTTTCCCCACACGCTCTGAAACTAACCTCCCTCTTAAAATCTTGTAAACCAGTCACTTCATGCCTCCATTGCCCCCTCATTTTAAGTAGCCAATATCTAAGTTGCCCATCCCTATCTACACTGTTGTACAGAGGGGACAGCATTGATACTTGATATGAAGACTCCTTTCCTCTCTATTGGTATAGATGGTTCAAGCTCACCAGCAGCTCCTTGGAAACACTATACAGGGTCGACAAACTGACTCGATGGCACCACTCAACAACAACATCCACGAGTGGGCACAAATATGGATCTCTTCCCATCAGTAGGCCAGATCTTTGTCTTCCAAATTTCTTAGCACAGATGAGTGAGTGCCTCCTGTGCTGCCTCACTTTCTTGAAAGAGTTCAATTTTTGTTCTATCAATTCCTGGTGCCTTGTTCTTTGCCAATTCCTTCAATGCACCTTGGACTTCTTCCATCTATATCATTGGCTCTTGATCATATGTTACCTCTTGAAATGGTTGAACATCAACCATTTCCTTTTGGTACAGTGACTCTGTGTATTCCTTCAATCTTCTTTGGATACTTTCTGTATCATTCAATATTTCAAATTGAGGCTTGAATTTTCACGTCAGTTCCCTCAGCTTGAGAAATGCTGAGCGTGTTTTTCCCTTTTGGTATTCTGATTCTAGATCTTTGCACATTTTGTTGTAATATTTGGCTTTATCTTCTCTAAGTGACCTTTGAAATTTTATGTTCAGCTCTCGTACCTCCTCATTTCTTCCATTTACTTTAGCATCTCTACACTGGAGAGCAAGTTTCAGTGTCTCTTCTGGAAGGAAGAAAGCAAAAAGTCATTAAAAAGACAAGAAAGAAGAAAAAGGTTAAAATGGATGTACATTTTGACCTTTTCCTTTTAGTCTTCTTAATGACTTTTTGCTTTCTTCCTTTATGATAATCTTGATGTCATCCCACAACCATTCCAAAGAGAGGTGACCCAATGGAATATGGAAATCATCAGACAATATCTTTGATATCCTATGTGAGTAAAGTTTTACTAAAAGTAACACAGAAATGGCTGCAAGCATACATTGACAGAGAACTTCCAGAGGTTCAAGCTGCATTCAGAAAAGACCGTGGAACAAGGGATATCATTGCTGGTGTCTGATGGATCTTGGCTGAAAGCAGAGAATATTAGAAAGATGTTTACCTGTGCTTTATTGACTACGCAAAGGCTTTCAATTGTGTGGATCATGACAAGCTATGGACAACATTGCAAAGTATGAGTATTCCGGAACTCTTAATTGTGCTCATGAGGAATCTATACATGGACCAAGAGGCAGTTGTTCGAATGGAACATGGGAACACAGAATGGTTTAAAATTAAGAAAGATGTGCATCAGCGTTGTATTCTTTCATCATATTTATTCAACCTGTATGTTGATCAAATAATCCAAGAAGCTGGGTTCTATGAAGAAAAACGTGGCATCAGAATTGGAGGAAGACTCATTAACAACCTGCGATATGCAGATGATACAACCTTGCTTACTGAAATTGAAGAAGACTTAAAATATTTACTGATGAAGATCAATGAGCACAGCCTTCAGTATGGATTGCATCACAATGTAAAGAAAACAAAAATCCTCACCACTGGACCAATGAACAACATTCTTATTAATGGAGAAAAGATTGAAGTTTCCAAGGACCTCATTCTTCTGGGATCAACATAAATAAATACTCATGGAAGCAGAAGTCAAGAAATCAAATGACGGATTGCATTAGGCAAATCGTGCTGCACAAGACCTTTTCAAAGTGTTGAAGAGCAAAGATGTCAGCTTGAAAATTAAGGTGCACCTGACCCAAGCCATGTTATTTTCAATAACCTCATATGCATGCAAAAACTGAACAATGAATAAGGAAGACCATTGAAGAATTGATGCTTTTGAGTTATGGTGTTGGAGGAGAACATTGTAAGTACCATGGGCTGCCAAAAGAACCTATAGATCTGTGTTGGAAGAAGTGCAGCCAGAGTGCTCCTTGGAGGCCAGGATAGCTAAACTTCGTCTCTCATATTTTGGACATATTGTCAGGAGGGAGCAGTCTCTGGAGAAGGAGATCATGTTTGGTAAGGTGGAGGGTCAGAGAAAAAGAGGAAGACCCCCCAGTAAGATGGATTGGCCAAGTGGTAGCATCAATGGTGGCAACAATAGTGAGGTTGGCCCAGGATCAGGCAGTGTTTCATTCAGTTGTGCATAAGGTCGCTATGAGTCAGTACTGACTCAATGGCACCAAACAACAACAACAACAGCCTCCATGAATATAGGTCAAGTTCATCAAATTGTAGCAATTTACCCTCATTTCCTTTATGTTGTTTTTTTATCTTCCTCTAGTCAAGTTCTGATTATCAAGCCATCGAGGCTAGGTCAAATGGGTACTATCTGCAAGTTTGGGTATTCTTGCCAGATTCTCACTTCATATCAGTTGGATGCTTCATTCTCAGCTCTAGCCCTCTGTAGCTATGTCCTTGTCCATGGGCTCAGGTGTGCCCAGGTCTCACCACACTTCAAACCAACCAGCCCTTCCTCTTCTCACTCTCATCTCCAGGTCAACAGGAGTTTATGGATCATGGTTGAACTCAGCCCATTTCTTCATTGCTGCCTTTGTCTCTCTTCCACTCACAAGTAGACCAATGTACTTGTCAGCAAGCAAGCTTACATGCCTGCGTATATGTTCCTTTTGAATTTCAGTCTTACAGGGTTTTTTTCCTGAAGGAACTTGATTGCTTGCCTTAATGACTTCTCAGCGAACAACTTGCTTACTCTTGTAGTAGGCAGTCATACGGACATATTTGTTTTGGGTTTCATATGCTACCTATTGAAATGGTTGAAAATAGATAATTTCTTTTTGTATATTCTTTCTTCTCAATGACCTTTTGCTTTCTTCCTGTATGATGTTCTTGATGTCATCCCCCAATTATTCTGGTCTTCAGTCATTAGTGTCTAATTCATCAAATATCTGTCCTTGAGATGATTTCTAAATTCAGGTGGAATGTGTTCAAATATTTTGGCTCTTGTGGACTTATTTTA